TAGTGTTAAGTTTCCAGCCCCCATCCCCCCACCCCCCCACCCCGTTCTCTGTACTTACGTGGATTTCCTGCTACTCCTGGGTTCCCGGGCTGGGAAAGCAGCTGCGGCAGCAGCAGGGCGAGGAGGAGGAGGCGAGCTCTGGCGACGGTGGCGGAGGCCATGCTCACTTTGGTTGGGCGCCCAGAAGATCCTTGGGAAAGAGGCTGCTGCTCGCCTGGACTCCTGCGCTCCTCCCTCCTCTCTCTCTTTCTCTCTCTCTCTCTCTTCCTCCCCCCCCCCCTCTCTGATTCACACACTAGCCAGGAGAAGCCCCAGCCTTGGCTTGAGCTTCAGGCACCCTCCGATACCTCCCCAGCACCCCCCTAGAAACGCGACCGCCACCTCCTTTCTAACCCGCACGCCAACCTGCTCCCTGCGCACACCGCCACTCGCACCTGGCCAGGGAGGGGACCGGCTCGCGGCGGGTCCCCCAGCACGCGCCCCCCTCGAGATGGCAGGTGACAAATGCCGGTCTGGGAAGAGGCAGAAGCCCCCACCCACACCCCTTGGACCCGCCGATCTCCTGCTACCCCGACACACCTGGAGCTGCCCCGCTCCCCTCTCCTCCCCCCACCCCTCGCCCAGCAGGGGCGCGGGCGACAGATTGCCTGACTCACGCCTCTGGCTGCAAGTTAAGAAGCCCTGGCAGTCATTACTGGGCCGATCATTGAACACAAGGAGCATCTAGGAAAAAAAAATAACAATTTTCTGCTTCGGTTCTAAAAAGAAGAAGAAAAAGAAGAAGGGTGGACCAGGAATAACTCTAAGCAGACAGACACCGCAGTTCCATTCTTGGACTTCTGCTGGGAACTCTGACTGTCAAGGAAGCTCAGAAGCACTCCCCCCCCCCCCCGGGTTGTCCCAGGGAAAGGATAGACTCTGCCCGAACACTAACTTTTTATATATTATATAGATATAGATATAGATATAATTGTAAAGGTACTGTACAGTGGACTTACAGTTACATGAGGAAGGTAATGAGTACATTTCCTACCTAGCATTGAACAGTTATTTTTGCTTGTTTGTTTGGGTCCATGGTGCATCTGTATTTTTCCTTAAATTTTATTTTTTAATATTTCATTAAAATATGATTTAATCTTAGCAGAGCAATGGCTGGCTCATCCTGTAACCCTAGCTACTTGGGAGGCTGAGATCTGAGGATCACAGTTTGAAGGCAGGGAAGGTCCAAAGACTTTCATCTCCAATTAACTAGCAAAAAGCCAGGAGTAGAGCTGTGACTCAAATGGTAGAGCACCAACCATGAGTGAAAGAGCCAAGTGGACTTCAAGCAGAGAGAGAGAGAGAGAGAGAAAATTGAATGGCCCGAGACATCTAGTAGATTAGTAAACACAACTCTCTGTGTGTCTACAAAGTTGGTCTCAGAAATTATTAGATGGTGAGTTGTTTTTAACCTAATGAATGGATTTGTCCCTTGGGGGCATGATTGAGAAGTGGTAAAAAGTAGGATGCAAGGCCCCAGTGAAAGAAATATAGGTCTTGGGGACTGTGTCCTTGAAGTTAGATCTTAACCCTCATGACCCCTTCCTGGACTTCCTTTCTCTCCTTTTTTTTCTTTATTAATATTATTTTGAGTGGTACTAAGGTTTGAACTCCGGGCCTTGCACTTGCTCAACAAATGCTCTGCCACTGGGCCATATCCCCAGCCCTTCTTCTGTCTACAAAGAAGAGAGCGAGTTCTGTTGCATCCTCACCCATTATATCTGCCCAAGTGCATGGGGCCAAGAGATCATGAACTGCAGCTTCTGAAATTGTGAGTAAAAAAATCAATCTTGCCTTCCCTTAAATTGTTTATGTCAGACACCTATCACAGTGATGACTAAAAGCTAATGCTGTCAGTATTTTACCAAGAGAAGAAGGAGGAAAAGAAGCGGAGAAGAAGGGGAGGGGGAGGAGGAAGAAGAAGGAAACAAAAAATAAATCACCTTTTCTGGACAATTGTCATAATACGTTGGACTCAAATACAACCACAGTTTATTCTTTGCTAACACAAGATGTAATTTCAGATGGGTGGCCGTGGTTCGTGCTTCTAGCCCTAGCTGCTCAAGAGGCTATGATCTAAAGATTGTGGTTTGAAGCCAGCCTGGACATCAAAGTCCAATGAGAATTATCTCCAGCTAACCAGCAAAAAAGCCAGAAGTTGGGCTTAGGCTCCAGTGGTAGTGTGACTCTTGAGCAAAAAAGCTAAGGGACAGTACCCAGACCCTGAATTCAAACTCTAGTACCAGGACAAAAAAAATCATATAATTTTATGAACTAGAAAAAATGTATACAATTTTTCATTTTTTGAAAAACAGCAGGATAGTTAAACATCTAATCTTTCCAAACTACCACTGTTTTCCCCTCCCAAAGACAAATAAATGACAACTCAGTTGAAAATTTCTTCCTAATTTCTTATCACTGGTGATTGGGAAGAATTGGAAAAAAAAAAAAAGAGAAAGAATACCAATTAGCGGCGATACCATGAATAATTTGCTTCACTAATTAAGACTTGTTCTATGTAGAACCTCTGATTTAATACTTACACACTATGATAAGGTACTTTATGCCGCTTAAAAAAATCCAGTTGTTCATATGTCAAAGAAAACATTCTCTCATATATTTTCTTTCACATAAAGAAATGGTTGTTGCCCCAAATCCAGAGAGAGCAGGTGAGCACAGTTAAAATGCAGTTCTAGGAACTAGAAAAATAACCTCTGATTTCTGCAAAGCAATATTCTACCATTGAAAGGTGCCAATTTTTAGCATAAAATTTCCTGTGTATGTCAGATCTTTTCCTTAGAAGAGATAGACTTTAAATATATAAGAAACATTAAAAAAAAAAAAAGCTCCCCTGGATTGCAATTGGAAGTAGAGAGAATGGGAGGAGGAAGGAGCCAGAAGAGCTGGGGGTAAGGGTTAGAGAAGATAAAGAAAGGGGACAGTTAAATGACAAAGATGAATTTGATTCACTTTCTAACATTAAAGTGAAAATTTCCTTCAATGTGTGGATATCATAGGTCTCTCTCCACAGGTATCAATACAGTTGTGCTGGCAACACTTCAACCTCAAAATCATGGAATCCTGTGTTTGAGACATCTTTTAACTCAGAAATCTCAAGTTCTAAGAAAACATGGTTTCTTTTTAAAAGACAAGAATGAGCCAGGCACCAGTGGCTCACTTCTATAATCCTAGCTAAGAGGAAGTCTGAGATCTGAGGATCCTGATTTGAAAGACATCCCAGACAGATACATCCATGAGACATGTATCCCGAATAAGCAGCAAAAAGCTGAAAATGGAGCTATGGCTCAAGTGGTGAATTGCCAGCCTGAGTAAAAAAGCTAAACAAGAGCATGAAGCCTTGAATTAAAAACCCCAGTGCTGACACACATGCACATGTGTGCACGCGCGTGCGCACACACACACACTCACACATGACATACTAATATGTAACCTAGGAAAGGTGATGGTTAAATATTAGTTTCTTGTAGACCTGTACCATGAGGCTATGGCAGAACATTTTCCATGTGAATAATGGATAAAGCACATTCTTTGTGGTTCAAAGGGTTGTGCACCTATCCATTGGTTCTCTTGAGTACCTGTGCACACTTATACATTTTTAATATTCTGCAATAAATAGCTAATCATAATTACTAACAAACACAGGACTCACAATCATGTCAGGACTGCTGTTTATTTTGTTTCCTGGGATAGTAAGGTCTTGCTTCTATCAACAAATCTAACAGATGGTCATCCGTCAAGTGCCAATTAATGCATATGGCACCTAGGAGGTTTCCGTTCCCTAGGGAAGGCAGAGCGGCAGAAGATATTACAAAGGATGTGCAAATATATGTTTTCAACTCTACATTCTTAGCAGATTTCATCTTTATATAAAATAAATAAAAATAAAGCCCACACAAGCTCATTTAAGGGAGACCTAAGGTGATAGATAGATAGATAGATAGATAGATAGACAGACAGCCAGACAGATAGATAGATAGTGCCTTAGTCATATCCAATGTCAAAGTATTGGTCTGATTAAGTAATCCAGTTCACCTCCTTTTTTCCAGGTATAAACCAGTTCATTTTGATGTATTTTATTTCCTCTTAAAAACTACTTGTTTAGGTTGTACACTGGTAACAGAGGCTTATTTAATCCTAGCTACTCAGCAGGCTAAGATCTGAGGATCGAGGTTCAAAGTCAGCCAAGGCAGATTCTCATGTCTAACTAAAGAGAAAAAAAAAGAAAGGAAAAACTCAGAAGTGGAAGTGTTGCTCAAGTGGTAGAGCATGAGCCATAAGCAGAGAAGGCTAAGGGAGAGTTGAAGGCTCTGAGTTGAAGCCCACATACACAAAAATTACTCCTATAGGATGATACACAATGTGTCTACCATTTAAATAGGATAAAGAATTTCACTGAAGCTGTTCTATAGTAGGTGGGTAGAGGATAGGGAAAGAGTGAGCTGTAGAGGAGGTCAATCTGAACGAAAGAATAATACAAGCCCATGTGAAATACCATGGTGAAACCCCTCGGCACACTTAATATACATTCAAAATGATGAAAAAAATGAATGACAGGAAAGTAAAACAAGCTCTGTGGGAGGGTGGGAAGTAGCGGGAGGGAGCAATAATGGAGAAATGAATGTCAATATGGCGACTTTATAGATACGTGTGCAAATGGAGCCTGTGGAAACAGTTTTACGGAGGATCTAGAGGGAACAAGCCAGAGGGAGTTTGATCAAGTTACTTTATGTGCAAGTACAGAAATATCACAATGAAGCTCCCCCTTGTCCAGCTAATAGAGGCTAATAAAAATTAATAAAATGCTTTTTCATGAGAAAAAAAATTACTCCTTTAACCTGGCTTTCGATGCGTAAGGTTTATGGCAAAGGCAAAGAGTTTCTTTGCCATCAGGACATGGTGCCCAGAGCAACTGTAGATAGAGTACCTTCTGTATAGCAGACATGATACAGCAAGATGTACTTCTGAAGGCTGCTGTGAAAACAGTATGGATGTATAAGCATTGGGTACTTAACACAGTGGTCATCCTACAACACCAGGTGGGTTTGTTTGTTTGCTTGTTTTTAGTTCTTTCAAGTGGTTGTAAAAACAGAGTTTGAACTCAACCTATCAACATATGAGTCCAATGTCATCCCTTCCATAGACAATGAACACTTATTAGGGGAACAAGATCTGAACAGAAGTAAGAAACTCCAAAAGACACGTGAAGGAATATTTTAAAAATCTGCTCATCCATATTTTAACTCTAGAAATACAACCAGAAACTGGAACCATTTTCATCCTCAGAATATCCACAAAACCCTTGGGCTTTGAGGAAATAATCACATAAGAAAGAAAAGAACCGATGATTATTTTTTTTCAAATGCCAAAGAACACTGAATACTCACAAATAATTTATGATGTCCTCGTTACAAAAAGAGGACTAAACAGAGAAAAGGCCTCGGAATAAAATCCACTGGTAATGAGACATGCATATGATAGTGAAGAGTTGAAGTGAAAAAAAGTGTACAGTATTTTTCATCAAAGTTGAAGGTAAAACTGAAAGTGTAAACCTATATGCTCATTTTTTACCACTTCAAATGAAATGACATTGATAACAATGGACAATTCTGGCAAGGGTGTGGTCATAGAGATTGAATTTAAGTGCTCACTTAAAATAATACTAACATTGGTCAAAACACAAAAAGCAACGGTCATCCAGACCATTTCCAACCCTAGGAAACAAGGGGACATCACCTCAGGAAGGCAGGGTTAGACAATGAGCTCCAAAGCTCAAGAGTTTCCAGGCTGCTAGCATAGAAACAAGAGCCCAAAGGCTTGTTGAGTTGAACTGACAGTATAGGGCTAAGCTGGCTGTAGTTCCTAAGTGTCTGAGCCTTGCAGAGAAAACATTGGCGAAGCTCAGAGTGGCTCCCTGAAGACTCCTGAACTGTTGTGCAAATCAGCACCCATTGGTGAAAGGTTGATTAAGGCCAGAGAAAGAAACACTCCAAAGCATTTTGAAGAACGGTACTCCATGCCCACATAGGGAGAGGAAAGGTGTTTCTTTCCGCCAACTATGCCTCAGTGTAAAGAAATAATTAGCCCTAAACCGAGAATGTCTCTAGTTTTTCTTAAGCTATCCTAACAGCTTGTGGCTCATGATTGTAATTCTATCTACACAGGAAGCTGAGACCTGGAAGAACAAGGTTCAAAAATCAGCCCAAGCAGGAAAATCTATGAGACTCAATCTCCAATTCACCAGAAAATGCCAAACTGGGCATGACCCCTGCAGGGTCTCATTTTTGCCTAGGCTTTCCTTAGACCACAGGGCTCCTGCCTTTACCATTGATGTGGCTGCAATCTTTACAGTAAAACGACCATGCCTGGCTTATTTGCTGAGCTGGGTCTCATTATTCATTAGAGTTTGATGCCAATGGTCAGAGAACACAATGTGGATGATTTAAATTCTTACCAATTTGTTTCTATAAATGTCCTTATGACCCAGAATGTTTATCTTGTTTACTTGTGCATAAGCACTTTAAAAAATACATTATGCTTACACAGGGATATAGTGAAATATAGAAAATGTAAGGGGTGAAAGAGAGAAAGAAATAGAGGAGGAGAGAGTAGAAGGGGTAGAGATTGAAATGGCGATGAGAAAGTTAGAGAGAGAGAGAAAAGGATAGATAATTGTTAAAAGATGATGGTGTTGTCTTATTTTCTATATATCTGTCCATTTTTCTAACTTGTAATTCTATCAGTTATGAAGAAGACTTCATGTCATCAACTACACAGTATATATTAACACACTATACTGTTTTGTCTCATGTCTGGCCTCACAGACAATACCAACTTGAATCTTCTTAAATACCTCCAGGGATTCTCTCCTTCCCCTTCTCTCTTATTCCACTTGCAAAGTTAAAAATGTAAAAGGCTCAATTATGCATTTTCAGCATTCATACTAGTACAGATAATGCATGTTTATCAAAGAAAGGAAATGCATTTTTATTAAGGTTTTTCATTAGCATATATTAGTTGCACAAGGATGGTTTCATTGTGACATTTCTATACATGGCTACAAAATTCCCCCTCAACCTCTCCTCCCCGACCCTTCTCCCTTTCAACGCACTTTAAAGGTAATTTGACATAATGCAGAATTTGGACACAAAATTCTGGAACTATAACCCCTTTTAGAAAGACACTTTGAAAAGAAAACCAGAATGTTAATCAGAGCAATTGATTAGGCCAAGTTTGCATGATGATGAAGCCCAAACCTCAGTGAATTAACATCATAAAAATGTGTCTGTCACTCAGAATTATTTCTGGGTGTAGGAACAGGCCAATCTTATGTTTTATTAATGGACAATGGAATAGGCAACTCTAGTTTCCTATAGAGCCACTGGGTGTTAATATTTGTGATGTGGTGGTGATGGTGGACCAGCTGAGTGCCCGTGGCTCTCACCTGTAATCCTATCTACTCAGGAGGCTGAGACCTGAGGATGGTGGTTCGGTGCCACACTCACAGGAAAATCCACTGGGACTCTTATCTCCAATAAAACTCAGGAAGTAAGGCAGGAAGATCAGGAGTTTGGAACACATAAAGCCCTAAGAAGTCATAGGGATGCCTCCTCTTCCTGCCTTAGGCTTTCTAGTGTGCTATCTCCATTGAAAGATCTTCTCCGCCAACCTCATTTCCTCTTAGGCAAAGCTTCTACGGCCTATGATCTTCTGCTTATCATCAAGGCGATCACAGATTACAGACCAGAAAATAGAAACTAAAGCAGCACTTTCCAAATCAATTACTCGGTTCCCACTCCCAGAAATTCTGATATTACAGGACTAGAGTAGAACTTATGAGCCTTAAAAAAGACAAGCAATAGCCAGGCACCAGTGATTCACGCCTGTAGTCCTAGCTACTCAGGAGGCTGGTTCTGGAGCTGGGGGGCGGGGACGAAGGGGTGGAGTACCCATGAGATTCTTATCTCCAATTAACAACTCAAAAACCAGAAGTGGAGCTGTGGTTCAAAGTGGCAGAGTGCCAGCCTTGAGCAAAAAGTGCTCAGGGACAGTGCCCAACCCCAAAGTTTCTCTGACACTTTCTCAGTGACAACCCCAGCCTAACTCTATATTTGGATCACATGGTTTTAAAATACTAAGAATGTGTTACTCACAGGAGATTTAACTCTGGGTGTGTGTGTTTGTGTGTGTGTGTGTGTGTGTGTGTACACATAACCTGTCTCACTGGAGTTAAGCCTATTTTAAGTTGTTATATGGTGCAGAATACTGTTAAACTTTGGGGTCATAATTGTCTCTTCAAAGTTGCAGGTGTTAAAAGGCTTGTCCCCCTAGATTGATCCTATCAGGAAGTGATAGAAACTTTAATAGGGGCCTGGTGAGAGGTTTTATATTACACATTCTCACAGGACTGAGACCCAGCTTTCCTCCTCTTTCTCTTTGGCATCCTGATGTGAGGATCCCTGCCATGATGTCTCCTGCCTTTCCCCAGGCCCAAAACACTGGAGCCAACCCGACCAGGAAGTGATTGAGATGAAAAATAAACCCATTTTGCTTTACTATCTCTGGAATTGGTTATAGTCACTGACAACTATCCTAGATATTTTGTGTTTTATTGGGGATGAGGGGGACTGTAGGAGCCTTATGTCATTTGATTTTGCAACTATTTCAAATCAAACTTGAAATATACATCTTAAAGAACTGCATTTGTGACCATCTCAAACAAAAGCTGGTCCCATGTCATTCGTCATTCTCACAGGTCAAGCCGGGTGCTGCGCCCCTCCTCCCAGCCTCGGTTGGCCCTTGGTGGACTCTTTGGCCATTGTACTCCTTACCCTTCTATACTGTTGCTGATTAGTTAAGAACACGCCTGCTTCTTGAAATAGACTGAAAGGCTCATTAAGAGTCTGAGAAACAAACACAGATGAACTTGCTTGAAATAAAAAGGCGTGAAGTAAGCAACTTTCCAAGAGAGTGTTTCAGCCACCCAACATAATTACCATCTTCTCTTTGTTGGCCTCCCAGTTGCCACACACTCCAGCTATTTGTAGCTCAGCGACCTGAGCGATGCTCTCAAAATTGTCAGAGAAGCCTGGTGCCAAATGGCTCATGCCTATAATCCTAGCTATTCAGGAGGCTAAAATCTGAAGATCACCGTTTAAAGCCAACCTAGGGCAGGAAAGCCCATGAGACTCTTATCTCCAACTAACCAGGATAAAAAGCTGGCAGTGGAGCTGTGGCTTCAGTAGTAGGGTGCTAGCCTTGAGCAAGAAAAGCTCAAGGAAAGAGCCCAGCCCCTGAGTTGAAGCCCCAGGACACACACACACACACACACACACACACAGACACACACACACAAAGTATAAATCCCCCCAACTGGCTCCCTCATTTAGGAGGGGTAAAAGGCCTGGAGGTGGTTTGCATAGTCCTGTATAATCTAGCTCCTTTCAGAGCTCATGGCCTGCTCTTTCTCTTTGCTATCTGTTACACACAACTAGCCATGTTACTATACCAGGGACTTCAGGGCTATTCTTCCCTCTGCCTAGATCAAACTTGCTTCATAATCCGAGTGGCTAATTTCCCTCGCCACCTGCAGATCTTTGCTCAAATGTCAGTGTTCCAGTGAAAGGTTCTTATCTACTCCCAAGTGCATCTATCCCAGTGTCTCCTCTAGAGCACTTCCCCACCTCTGACATGATGTATTTAGTTCTTTGGCTATTGCTTCTCTTAGAGTCTGCGGCTGTGGTTCAGAGGCCAGAGAGAGAGAGAGAGAGAGAGAGAGAGAGACTGCTGGGGAACAAACAGAAGGGAGCAATGGCTTGGCCTCCAGCCTAGGAGCCGCCTGCCCACTCGGCCTTGTATGCTTATAGAGAGCGCTTATGGCCTAGAGCTTTTATGGCACCTGTCTGCACTGCCCTCTAGCGTTCAGTCAAAATCCAGCAAATAAATGGGCTGATTTTTGGTTGTAGTAGATGGTTTTTCTGCCTTCCCTTCTAAGGGTTAGGAAAATGCTGCCAACAAAAGACCCAAATGGTATTAACCC